GTGCTGGTGTACAACACAGCCGATAATGGATATTACACACTAAACAGTCTGACTAAAGTCTACGTGGGCAAGGTCACCGTCGCTGTTGGCAGCATACAGAAAGCGGATGTGGAGAGCGAAGTCAAAATTATGAACGCAGCCAGAAGATGCTTTAAAAATTGTGACGTCAAGAGCACAATACAGCAATGCAAGATTAAAGACGATGTAGACATTTCTACTGGTTTGGGTGATCAAATATTGACTTTTCCCTTTACAAGTTATGCTAAAGTGGCATATTCACATACAACCAGTTATACAGATTTTGTTGAGGTCCCAGCACCTCTTGGAAAAACATCGTGTGGGTGGTCATATGAGCTATCTGTACATTTCTCCATGAGCATACCTGTCTGCTATAATCGTAAATGTCAGAACAGAGGATGGTGCAGGAGGCTGGCGGACTCCAACCTTAGTCTGTGTGAGTGCGAGTATGGATACTACGGAGAGAGCTGTGAAAACAGAATGGACACATCAGTGATCCAGACGATTCTGTCTCAATACCCTGTGCCCACTATCATCACCTCCAGTGGCAGACTGAAAATGATACAGTCCAAATTGGAACAGGTCATCAACTGTGTCAACACCAGATATGGTTAACAGCAGATACCTGCAGACGGACGACAGCAACAACCACTTCCTTCCAACTGACAAAGTAACAGCAACATGCAGGAGTAAATCAATCAATCAATCAGAGTTCTTCAAGCTGCGACTAGTTGGCTCCAAAGTCCAAAAAATCATCACAGATACTAAATTATGCCTCAGTCTGAACTTTAACAGTATGTGTGACGATATGGGACATCATTTGATGACTGTGTGTGGAGGCAGACATTGAAAGATGTGTATTCATCCCAATGCTGCAGGTAAAAAATAATTAGTCTTCCTTAAACATAAGTTTCATGAATTATCAACCTGTTTTTGTTATAGTGCCTCCATGTGATCAGTTGATGTAGTCTTTGCAGTCTGAGGGTAAGATGTTAAATGTCTGTTGGAAAGTCGAAAAAAGTGAATTATTAAATAATACCCCGATAAAATCAAATGCGTGTCTCAGTTTGATTATTAAATATGATGTACTGACAGTCCACAGTTGAACAGTTTCACTTCTTAGGCTGGGTATCTCCACTCTGCATTTGAGCCATCCTGTACATTAGGAGCAGTGGGCAGCCGTCGTTAATCTCACTAGTTGAAAACAGAAATAGTAATGTGGTAAATTAAATATTATATTTTATTAATTTTCAAGGCGGTATTTCTGCAGCCACCCGCCACTAGCTGGGGAAACAGCCCCAGCAGGCAGCAGCCCCCCATCCCTGCACTAATGCCCCCCGTCCCTGCACTAATGCCTCCGTCCCTGCACTACTGCCCCACTGGTTTTAAGAATCCCACTTTAGAAGTTGTAGTTTTAATTCTAGGAGGTGGTTTCAGTCTCTACCATCAAATCGCACACAGCTTATCAGCTAGAGATTGATCGGGGTCAGAGATTGATCAGAGACAGAGATTGATGCTGTAACATTATCCCATATAACGGCTGTCAGCTATGTTCTGTGGTTCCCATCACAAAGTGAATCCACCCACAGTGGAAACAATCTCCAATAAAACCTGTAAAGGCCTCATGGATCAGGTTATCAATAACCATCAATCAATGAGAGTGATTGCTCTCTTCATCTATCAACATCAACAGCATCTTCATTTTCTTCACAATCATTAAAAACGTGTTGTCCATATGTCAATTTCAGTAGCATCCCAACGTGTTTACTGACATTTAAACTAGTCAACTGATTTTTAAATTTATTTTTAATCGACAGTGAAATTAATCACCAGGAAACTCCCTAATGCAGAGGACATTATTAGAAATAATGTTCAATTCAGTTTATGTGATATTACAGAGGACATGACAATAAAGGCTAAAAGGCCCTTTTTCTTGTTAAAGCTAATTTTTATTGATATTTTAAATTCATTATATGTATTTGAACCATTCTCAGTAATACCAAACAGTGGCAGCCACCCTGCAACGACCATGTTTGGCAGAGACAATTTGCTCCGCCCCTAGTAAATTAATTCCAGTATCCGGATCAGTTCTCGAAAGAACCCATTTTCATTCAGATATCTTGAGGTCAGAGGTCAAGGCCTCCCTCTGAAAATGGCCATGCCAGTTTTTCTACTGCCAAAATTTGTCTAAATATGGAGCGTTATTTAGCCTAGCATGAAGTGGTTGGTACTAATGGATGCTTTAGGTCATTTAATTTCCTTCCATCTAGCCTATGAAAGACAAGCCCCTGTCTGTGTCCAGGTGCAATAAGGTTGTACCGTACCTTTTTCAGTATTTACTTGTTCAATAAAGATTGTGTCAGCACTGAGTGCACCTTACCCCCCAAAACATGAAAAACACTCCGGCCAAGGTCATTTGTGAACAAACTGTATGTTGAATTGATTTTCTAAGTTTGACCAATTTCCAAAAGCTGAAAATTTAATGAAAAGAACAAAAACAAGTTATTTTAAAATCCACAACAGTGTCACAACTACGGTGGCTACAAAAACACCTCCATCTAGATCCAGTGTGTGATTTGTTCATTCTGGGCTTCTGTAGAAACATGGCGGTTCAACATGGCGAACTCCGCCAGAAGAGGACCCGCTGCCTCTTTAGATAAAAACGGCTCATTCTAAGGTAACGAATACACAATGATTTTTTTTTCAGCTGATGACACTAATGAACACAAACCTATACATATTATATTAATATGACACACTGGAGCTTTAAGATGATATGAAACAACTAGAAAATGTTGCATCATATTGTATTTTTGGCATTGTGTTGTGGGCCAGGGAGATGGGGATGGAGGGCCTGAAATGGCCCCCGGGCCAGCACTTTGGGACTTGTGGTCTAGAATTAATGTCTCACCAGAGGGCTAAAGTAAATTAAGGTTGTGTAAGTGGTTCTGTCCAAGGAACTACCGAGAGGACATTGGCTTTTTCAACAGATCAAAGTATCACTGCTTCCACTATGTTGGCCAAAATAAATAGTTTGTGTCTGTATAAAGCTGGCAGAGTTTATTTCAGCACAGCAGCGTCTGATTCCTGCAGCAGCTCCTGAGATCAGGTACTTCCTATTTTTCATAATATTGTTAATAATAATGCATCTTTCTACTAAATGTTACTCTTCTTCTTCTTCTTAATCTGTGTATAAATGTTACTCTTGGAGGGTCGATAAAGAAATGTAATTTATATAAAAACAATAATATAACTTTATTTTTATGACACATATTAGCGAAACACATCCAAAAGACAGATAGAAGATACAGGATTATAATAGAAAATAAATGTTAAAAAGATAAAAAAAAAAAAAAAACCGACTTGTAGAAACACAGTAATTA